TAAATTATATTTTTATATAAATAAAAATAAATTTGCAGTCCCCTTAGCTTATTGTAGCCTGGAAGATTGACAGAGTTTCTACAGAAGCAAGGTAGCTGGCAGGTGTGATCAAGCCTTAAAAAAGTGGAAGCTTGCACACTTGTCAATGTGAAAAAAGAAATGAGGATGTTGTGAAAACCTTTCTTCGCCGTCAGTAGCGTTCAGGCACAGGGATGGCTGCGTCCCGTTACATGCCAAGCAGTGGTGTGGGGCTGCGGATGCTGTTGCTCATCCTGGCGGGATGCCTGGCTCCAGGGCTGTGCAGCCCCCCGCCGTGCCTGTCCATCGCAGGCTGCTGGTCACTGCAGAAGCTTTCCTGACTTGGCCACGCTTGTTTGAGGCACCGTGTAGGCTTAGAATGAATACTTCTTCATTTGGACTGTCAGTGTTATGTTAAAGGCCCAACTAACTAACTGAATTCAGCTGAAGTTAGAACTCTGAGGGTTTTATTATGCTAATGTTGAAAGATAATGCAATCTATCAACATGATGTAAATTTTCCCCCCTTTTCAGGTGTGGTTTCAAAATTGCAGAGCACGCCATAAGAAACACGTTAGTCCTAATCATTCATCTACTGCTCCTATCACAGCAGTTCAGCCCTCCAGGCTGTCTCCACCCATGTTAGAAGAAATGGCGTACTCTGCATACGTACCCCAGGACGGGACTATGTTAACTGCTCTACACAGCTATATGGATGGTAGGTGTAACAACTTTATGTATCCAAGTAAAATCATTATTGACTGTAGCAAGACCAGTTTACCAAGTGCCAATTAAAGAAACTTAATGGATTTCTAATTTCTAGTATTCTATAAAGAATATCTTAATACCATACTTGCTGTCATTAAGAAGTGTGCCTCTTCAAGCAGTAGCCCTTCACTGTAAGAACACAGCTGAAGATCTGGGTATGAAGACCACTTTTTGTGTTTCCTCCAAACTATGAATACTAGTAATAAGAAATCAAACACTTTCTTAAGCATCCATGCCACGTTTTTAATAATAAGTAATTTAAATGAAAACTGTTTACCACCCACTCCAAGGATTGTTAGTATACTCAATCCAGCAACTTCACTGAAAACTTAAGCTTCCCTCGCAGTAACAGATGGTGGAGGGAGCCTGGTGGTCTAAAGTGTGTTTCAGTCATCGCATGTCTTATGACCCAGCAAGTCAGCAGCTTTGGCTCCTATTTGTGATTAGGAGAGACTGTGAAGGTTTTGGGAGAGCTTGACTCTGAGCTGCACGTGTGGCCTGAGCTGCTTTTTCTCCAAAGCAGTGGTGTAAGGTGGGCTGCGGGTGGAGGAGTGTGAATGCTGGGCTAGGGAAAATGGAGCATGCTGTGGTGGTTGGGACCAGTGAGCTGTTACTACACAGGGGGATTTACTAGCTGATAATATTTTTCTACCTCCAATGAAGTTGACCAGTAAATATTTCTGCTTTTGTAGCTCATTCACCTACAGCTCTTGGACTCCAGCCTTTGCTACCCCATTCAATGACACAACTGCCAATAAGTCACACCTAATTCCTTTCTGTCAGGGATATAAGCTATTAAGGATGTAACCTTAAGTCATTTATTGTGAATTAAAAATATCATTGGAAAGATATTAATGTTAACTTTTTATTTAACATCTAAAGCATTTTCAAGATCATTTTTGCTGCCCAGGTACGTAAGTATATTTAGCCTGCAAGACACTTTTATGGATTCTGCATAAATAACTATTACATTGTTTACAAGCCTTATTAAACACCTTTTTGTATTGTCTGGAAGTAGTCCACTCTAGTTATGTGTGTGTTAATTTATTTGTCATCAAAAGAGCACTTTGCCTAAAAGAAAGGACTGACAATTGTGCAAAATGTTTACAATTCTTTGTGAAATTGTAGTTTATCATTAGTTTGTATCTGTAAGTTATTGCTGAAAGTATTACCTGTATTTGAGTTGTATACAGCCTATATGTTAAAGCTTATTTCTGTGAGTTTACAAAAATAAATTTTGGTTGCAAATATTTTCAAAATGAACTGAATAAAGTTTCTGCTGTAGCATGCTAAACAAAAATGCTGTGTTTATGGCTGAACTGTGATCATTTGTGAAGCGCTTAACTTGAATCTTTAAGAGCAGGTCCCTGGTATACATAGGGACACCAAACTCAGGAGTGTTCATACTTGTCTCAACTGATTTTTAAAATCATTTAACGGGCTTAGATGGGTCTTGAAACACTCCAGATAGGTGGTACTTTATGCAAAACAGTCCTGTTTCTGAGGGTTGAGGGTGCATGCCTGCAGAGTGAGGGAAATCATACAATCCTTTAGGTTGGACAAGACCTTTAAGATCATCAAGTCCAACTGTTAACCTCCGCTGCTTCCCTGGGGCAGCCTGTTCCAAGGCTTGCTTAACCCTTTCAGTGAAGAAATTTTCCCTAATAAATGGTAGATGTATAGCATAGATTTTTAACTGTGATTTAAGTCAGCAAGTGGAGAACCTAAATTTGCATCTGCTTTAACATTTTGAATTTTTACTACTTCAGCTTCATTTCTTTCAGTGGTTTTATCTTGCAATTTTAAGCAGGATGGTAACTAACACACAAGACTTAGTCTGCATTTTTAAAGTAAAACCTAGTTTAGTATTTTAACTGACCTGTATCAAACTGCATATGAACAGAGATTAGAATTTAGTCAAATATACAAAAGTCTACTGTATTTAAAACTGTGCTAAGATTTAATTGCAAAGAATGTTTTGATACGCTGATTTGATGGACAAAAGGCTATACCGTACTGTCAATTGAACTGATTTTTGTCTTCAGACTAGCTTCCTTCAAGGATTTGGGACTGGTAGATCCCATCTGTGCACCTAAACTTTATCTGCATCAGAAGGAGATTATACTTTTGAAAGTGTGTCCATGCCCCCCCCCTTTTTTTTTTCCTCCCAACTATAAGATAGTGTCTTTACCTTGTGAAATTTCTTACTGTCCTGGTCAAACCATTTCAATGTGGAAAAGGTAGCGTTCTCCCTGACGCCATGGAAAGATGATGGCTTTTGAGAGCATAACTTTAAGGGCAAGCTCTGAATTATTCAAGTTCCATAAATTAAATGTTGGCACTGTTTCAAGTGCTATTCATAGGTGTCTGAGCTAATCTGAGTAGCAAAAGCAATCTATTTGCACTGGCACAGTGGTTTGTCTAGGCTACTATTATCCTGCTGCATTTTTTTCACAAAAAACTCTGAAGACATGAGGTGTTGTGAAGCTTGACTGACTTGATGTTTTATTCCAATGTAACTTCTTAGTGAAATACTCTGGGTGGAATACTAAATTCAATATGTTGTTTTCAGTACCTAAGCTAGCTCCATATATCGGCATGATACAAAACTGCATGCATAGCAGTAGGCAAACTGGTTTCTGTTCATTTGTTGGGCCTGATACGCACGTAGGATGCCCTTACTGCTGAAGTTTTACCAGTTAAACACTAAATAATGCTAATTTAGATCTTAAGGTAACTTGCCAATTTAAAATACTATTCAGTTGTCTTGCTTTAAAATGCAACTTGACTTACATCAAGTCCCTTTAAAGAAAAGTAAGTAATCACTCTAATTTGAAGGGCTAAGAAGCTTTAGGTTGCCTGAAACAAAGTAAGTCTAAGCTTATTTATGAAACACCCCCTTCTGTTCTGTTCCAAAGTTAGCGCAGGATTAACATAAATGGAGAGCAATTTTCCCATTTCCCTATGAAAATAGGAAGCAGGAGGAATCATCTTTTGTTACTGTGAATGCCTGAGCAGCTATTTGTAAGTGCAGCTGGGAAAATGTAGGGTTGAAAATAGGAACCTCCAGCAGAGGAGCTGGAAGTTTGAATCTTCTCTTTGAGAACGTCGGACCTGTGCCACTGCTGCCTTCAGCTGTCTGCAGCTGGTGTTAGGCTGTGTGAGGCTGACAAAGCATATGGAAAACTGAGGACAGTTTTAATCTGCTGCTCTTGACCAAAGCTGTTGCTGTAGCCTGATTTGCAAGTCTGGATGCTTTTTCTCCTGGTTATGCACTGATTTGCATTTGTGACTTTGCTGCTTTGCTCTTCTGACCCTGGAGTCATCATCCTTACTGCTGCTTGCTGTTTAAGAGAGTAACTTGGATATTACTGTGCTGAGGAAATTCATGGGATCTACTTACAGGAAGAGAATACGGCCATAGCAGGAACATGTAGTATGCTGAGTCAGCACCTTTTAGACCGCACAGGTTCAATTTAAAAATGACATACTGTATGAAATTAGCATATGAAATAAATTGGTCTTAACGTCTTGTTTAAAAGTGACCTATCTTGAACAGAGAACTATATAGAGCTCTGCCTAGTGCTCTGCTATGTGGATGCTTTTGCAGAGAACTGTATGTGTAATATATTCCCTCTCATCCCAAAGCGGTTAGCCTACAAGGTAGGATGATCATGTGGCAGTTGTTAATAGTTTCAATGCAACGTATCTTAAGAAATCCAAATTGGAACTAATGATGCAAAACTTATTTTGCTTCAAGAGGTTCTCAAAGGAAGAAATATCACTAAAACCAGTGAAAGTTGTGTCTCAAAAGTACTGTGAGAAGACTATCAGCTCTTGCTCCTTTTCCCCTTCTTTCCCTGACCTGCCTAACCAATGCAAGTTGGGGCTGGTCACGTATCATGTGTTGGAAAAAGTTAGTACACTGCAAAATAAAAATTATTATATTCAACCTGCTGTAGGAGTGAGAAATATAGACAAAAAATACAGACTTCACAGAATCTCTAAAGGATGTCTGTTTATTATTAGAAGTTGACAGTATTTCAGTTTGCAGAGTAAAGAAATACTCTATTGCTACAGCATCTTCAAGATCTTTTAGAAATATTTCAAACTCTGCAATTAAATGAAATACTGGAATCTAGATGTTTTGAAATTCCAGCTACTCACTGGAAATACGAGTTTGTGTTCATATGAACTTGAAAAGTACCGAGGCATTCTCTAGTCTGCTTTTCACCCTAAGGCACAATGCAATACCTTAGCTACTGCTAGTGGAGATGTTTCACTGATCTGTTCTTAAATGTCTCCAATAGTAGAAATTTTTACAGACTCCACAGGAAATCTGGCACTTTCTTAGGAAAAAAAAAATCCAACAAAAGAAAACCCCCAGTCTTCTCTTCCATGCCAAACAAATCTGATTCATCGAGTTTTTCATACCAAGTCATGTTTTCTAAATGTCTAATTGTTTCCGTGCTGTTTTCTTTGCCCATCTTCTTGAAGCACGAAGCTCAGTTTTAGCCGACCCCTTACTGGTGCTCAGCAGGAGGATTAGGGCACATCAGTCGCTTGTTGCTATGTGTTCCAGGATGATGACTGCTTTTCTTCTAGTAACACTACCCTCCACATTCTGTTTGTGACCAGCTATTATCTTGTCTCCTGTTTGCCATTCTCCATAGATTATTGCAACCTAGGTAAGCAGCTTCTATTTTGCCATACTGAATTTCACCCCGCTTCTTTCTTACTGTTTCTCAAAGTTTTCAAAACAATTTTGAATTCCAGTTCTGAGCTCCCCTGTGCTGCCTCTTTTGTGTTGTCAAAAAAATCACTGAGAATCTCTTTATTCTGTCATCCAGGTAATTAACTAAAGTACTGACCAGAACCTGATCCTTTGGGAATTCCATTTTTTAAACAGGAGACTGTATCACGCGAACTGCTTACAACTACTTATTTTCCAACTTTTCTATCCTAGGTTATTTTCCTATCTTGCTTATGTCAGCCTGTGACATGTGCAACTGCTTGACCACCCACATAGCTGTTACCCTTGCTAAAAGGAAGTTGGGCTGATGTGACAGTCTCATTGTTTGTATTCTTGTTATTGTTGGTGTGGTTAAGATTTTAAAATTCTTGAATAGAACAATTAGACTGAAATGAAACTGCATTATTGCATTCCCTGACTGTCTTCTGCCCATTTCCTGGACTCTAGGCACCATGTCAATTCTTCTTTCTCTTGATGTCTCTCAAAAACAAGTTAATGATTTGGAGAGGTTGCTATCTTTCGGCTGTCCTAGGACAAAGTGCGGCAGGCCCAAGCTACCCAAAATAATTTAGTTTGAAATCATCTAGAGAGCTTGCTTTTGTTGGCCTCAGTACTAACTATGCTAGTGACTTGTTCAGCGAATTTTTTGTTGTTGTATGGTTAGTTGGGGTTTTTTTTTTGGTCAAAACCGATACAGGTGAAGATCTCGTCTGGCCTTCTGGTACTCACTGCCTATGGTTTTGACTCTGAGTAACAGATCAGCACTAGCTGTACTCTTGCTTAGATTTATTAATAAAATGCACACAATGCTGTTTTCTTTACCCCTGCTGATGTTTGCTAATGTTGCCTGATTTTGTGAGTTGGCTTTTGGCTAGAAGTTCATGTTGGTTTTTTTATATTTGCATTATAGTAACCATAACTACTAACGTAACTTCTGCATCCTTTCTATGATTACATCTGAAGTTGAAGAGTTGCTTAAAGTTTAGGCAAGTTGATCTTACTACACTTCTACCTTTCCTTTATTCATTTTTTGTAAGTATATGTTATGGAGAGTTCTCATTTCTGAAGAAACTTGCCTCCCCCCCAAAAAAATAAATTTTTTTTTTTTTTTTTACAGCTCAGCTCTGGATTGGTGGTATGCCTTCTTGAACCCCTGTGTTTCCATCTTGCAATACACTATTTCTTAGGACGTGCAAAGTTAGTGATGTTATAAGGACGGGTGGTCAAATAGATGTACGAGCAATAACATCTTCATAAAACGCACTGTTTGCAGAAATATTTTGACACAGTAATCTATGCTTTTGTCTCCCTTTTCCTTGTCTTTTTTAAAAAATTACTTTGCACTTAAAATCACTACTGATTAAAAAGTCACACTAGTCTCTGACAAATAAAATTGATTCTATCCTTAATTCAGAATGACAGCTGGTTTATGATGGAAGTATATATTATTAAAGTAGAAGTTCACGCCTTCTGCTTTTTGTACAAACACATGAAACCCACGTGTAACCTGCTGTAACAGCTGAGGAGATCATCCCCATTC